CCTATTAGGTATCTGTCTATATTTCTGAGATGAGGTATTATGTACATTATTTACATTATTCGGACTATTGTCTTCATCTTTGTTGCCATATTTATTACAACGTTTCGGCCGTTGTATGCTCCGGCCTTCTTCAGGTGGTTGGAATGTCGAACTGAACCCTTTATTTCGCTCACTGGGATAGACTGTTCTAGTTCCACGTGCCATGTCTTATTGATGTCACTTATCAGTTACCTCTTATTAATTTCCCTCTGAAAGTTCTCCACTGCCTTAACCAGGTATTGAACTCACACTCTTTGGGTCCTGTCACTGGATCTAACCAATGCCTTTATCTACTAGCACAGTGGATAAAGGCGTGAGTGTGAGTTCAATACCTGGTTAAGGCAGTGGAGAACTTTCAGAGGGAAATTAACAGGAGATAACTGATAACTGACATCCATCAAAATAATGTAAATAATGTACCTATTAGGTAGTTTCCGAGTTTAGCTAATGCCCATTCCACAGCTAATGTGTCTTTCTCTGTTTGACCATATTGCTTTTCTGTGTCTGTTAAGATTCTACTAATTAAGTGTATTGGCTGTTGTCATTCCTCTTGTTCTTTTCTGAAATAATGCAGCATTTACTCATTCATGGATACTAGCTTCTGTCTATAGTATGATTGTTGTTTTGGGATCAAAATATGCCATGATTTTACAGTTTGATATAGCTAATTTGAGTTTCTTGAATGCTTCTTTCTCATTTCTGCTCCATTCAAGTTTTATTTTGTTTTTATTTGAATCAATTTCCTTAGGGGTGTGCTTATCGTTGCTTAATTCTCTATAAAATTGTCAGGATATCCAGTCATTCTGAGAAAACTTCTCACATCCTCTTTTGATTTTGGTGCTTTTCAGTTAAGTACAGGTTCAATTTTTTCTTTCTTTTCAAATTCATATTTCTCTAGATTGAGTTTAATTTTGTATTCTCTGGCTCTCTGTAATACTTTTTCTCATGTCCTAATGTGTTCTTCTCTATCTTTTTCTCCAAGTATAATGACATCTCTTTAAATCATTCATAGGAGCATGTCTCCAAATATGTAAAACATTACTTGATCAAACACATCTTATATTGTTTTGACTATGTCACAATTCAGTCTTAGTTCTCCCATATTTATTGTCATTTTTAATAACACCCTAAATTGATATTTGTCCATTATGTTCACTGATGTGCCACTATCGGCTCACAGTATGTATCTATATTTCCGATTCTTACTTCTATTGTATTCTGGGAGATTTTGAATTGTCCTCATTATTTTGTGGATTTCTATTCATTCTGTCATTTTCCTGATAAATTCATCTTCAGAGCTTCTGCTTGATCTTTTTCAATTGTCAAAATTGATTTTTTTGTTCTCTGTGAAGTGTGCTGTCTTTCCTCTTTACATTAGCAAACTGATTCTTTTTATGGCAGTTCTTGCACTCTTCCCACAATGTTAGGCACTCTTCTTTTTTCCTGAATCTATGGTTTCTTCCACAATATTTACATAATCATTGTCTCTTTGGTTCTGTTTAACCTTTCAGTTTTTGTCTTTCTTTATTATGTTGATTTTGTCTACTGTGTTCATTTTGTTCATCATGTGACAATCTCTTAAGATATATTTTACTTTATGTTGGAGATTGTATCTTTAAATTGTATCATCTGAGAATATTGTTTATATAATTCTAGTGATTAATGCATCATTGTTGATTGTCTGTATCAAGTGTTCAAGTATTCTTTAATATGTGGAATCACTGAAATCTCAGTATTCTGCCTTTTCTTTGTGTCTTACTGATATTGTTTCAATTGATCTTTTATCTATTCTCATTTTGATACATCTGACATGTTGCTTGTTTTTTCTTTCTAAGTGCCTGTTTTGTTTTCTCTTCACCTTATCATATTCTGTCTCATTTCTATTCTATGTCAAGTAAATCATATCTGTCTGTCATTGTATCTTTCAGAAAAGTTACTTTGTCAGAATCTTCCAGGACTTTCTGTAATGGTATGTCCTCTTCAAATTCCTCAAGCCAATTTCTCAAATAATATTAAAATTATTTTTAATAAAAATGATAATATTAAAATTGCACGATAAAAAATAATTCAAATGTTGAAACTATGTAAAAATTAAAATAGAAACTATTTCTAGTAAAAAGATAATATTAAACTGTGTTAAAAACTAATTTAAAAAATTAGAAATTTACTAATGCAGTTTCTTTTTCAAAGAAACTGCTTAAATTTGATGTCATTAAAAATACCAAACCAGACAGTTTAAAATTTCCATGGCAAAATTTTACAGAAGCTCAGGCTTTGATGTTTTCGAAAATTGAATTGAAAACAGACACAATTTGATTGAATGCTGACTCAAGTTTTTAACCAATGGTTGTTAAATGTATAGACCCCTAAGGATTACAAGTCAATTTTTCTCCATATGTTTACTATATAAGAAGGAAAATTTTAACTGCAGAAGCAAAAATGTATAGACTAGAAATAGGTAGTCCAATTTGTGTTGCTGCAGGGAAGGGATTAGGTGACTCAGGCAAAAAACTGTCATTAGGCACTGCTGCAGATGTAAAAATAAATAGACTATATTATGACGTAAAATGATAAAAGATAAAGTCCATTAAAACTCTTTATGGAGAAGATAGAAGAATCTTCTAAATTCTTATAGAAATAAAACTGTGTAAGTTTATCTCAAACTTGAGGATGCCTGTTCCAAAAATCTGAATAATCATCAAAAGGATTCCAGAAAAGCAGCTTGATCAAGGTAAGTCAACCTTTTCTCACTCTGCTTCAAACTTCAACAACCACCTTTGAATTTTAACTTTGAATTGTGCCTTGAAAATTTGAGGTTCGTGAAGGTAATTTTATGCAAGGCCTATATTGTAATTTGTACTATTTGTATATTGTGAAAAATATTTTGTCATTGTAATAAATTTTAAAAATTTTACACCAGAGTAAGAGTCTTGTGTTTTTCTGTTTGCGACATTCAAAATACTCAATGTATGAAATTTGACTTGACTATAAATGTTTTTAATCGTATCTGATGTTAAATCTATCTGAGTTTGTATTGAATAGAGTAATATACAACATGATTGCACTTTTTTTTTTGTTTAGAGTGGCAACATTTGTTTTGCTTTTCATTTCTTCAGCATCTCATTGGTTCTATGAAGCTTCATTTTATGAAATCTTTATCATGGTTCTAGTGATGTCAAGAGCATGAAAAAACAACACACTTCAATGGTTAAAAGTGAACTAACTTTTTTATTATTGTACAAGATTTGACAGTCTTTTTTAAAAATCACACCTGATCAGGTGCCTGTTATCTGTATGTATAACTGTGACTGTGTGACTGTTACTGGATGGAAACCAACCAGACAGATGTCTGTCTGATAATCAGGTCATAACAGTAATAAATTGACTTTTTCTCATGACGATGAAGACTTTGTACGGATTATTATATGTGCATCATGAATATAAAAGTTAATGTAAATTTTATAAAATGAAGTTTATGTTCTTAGATTATAACAAACACATTGTTAAAAATAAATAAATCTTATTTTCATTAAATATTATAAAGGAAATATGATATTCCAACTAAGAAGAAACCAACTTAAAGTAGAAACTAGTCAGCTAAAAATTCTCATAAAAAGATAAAATTTACACATTAAAACTTATAGTTATATCAAATTACCATCTTTTTATTTTTTTAAAAATTCATAATAAATTTATTTATACCTTTCAATTAACACACTTAGAAATCCAATTTTCTTCTTATTTTTTTTTTAGTCATGCATAGTCATACAACTGTAACCACACAAAATATACATAAAAGATATATATCAAAAGGAAGGTGGAAAAAAAGAAATTAATTTCCTGCTTTTCATATGTTCACTACTGCATATCCATATAAATCAACTCATTGGATTTTTAGTTATTCACTAAAAAAATAAGTAACTTTTATTTCCTGTTCAGGCACATTTTATTCTTTTCCCTTCAAAAAAATGTATTGTTTTAAAAAAATAATTACACAAACACACAAGTACTTTATCATGGACAAAATTTAAAGTTTTGGTGTAAAACTTCAGGATAAAAAAAAGTTTTGTTATATTTTATAAAATCTTGTTCTTGTTTATTTTTAATTTTTCAATAAATGTGTGAAATTTTAAACAAGGCCACTTAAAAATTAAAACCGCCACAATTTAAAAAACTAATGAAAATGCACACATACTGTATACAAGAAATAATGTTAAAGTAATTTATCCAGTTCTGTTACGTTGTTGCAGTCTTGTTTGGAATAATTATTTAATTTAATAAAAATAGTTCTGACACAATAATGAGGCTTGATTTATTTTTATCCCTACAATACACACATACTTGCAGTAAACATAGATCAATTTCAGAAGACAAACATTTTTATTTCTAATTTGTCAAACATTTGATTGTATCATCACAATATATAACTATTCTAGCTTGGGACTAAAAAACATTGGAAAAGTTAAGTCAAATCGCATGAATTTATTTTAAAAGCAATTGAGAGTGACCTCCCTTATCTCTCTTCCACGTGACCTTTTCAAGTTTTAACCAGCAGCAGGTCATCTTCGCGTTGATAATGTACAACACAAAAAAGTCTATAACTCTTTCTTTGCCAAGCATTTAAACTTTTAAGTTGTAATGATTTACTATGTTATTAAGATAGTAAATAATTGTACAGCTTATAGAAAGAAAAGTGTGTGAAGCAAAGGTACATTAGTAATCCAGTTAGTTTTGAAATGACCAAGACTGTTTACAGTACTTTTTATGTAGCACTGACTAGCAGAGTGTTTCGCTTTAATTTCGATTTTATTTATTTGAAAGAGGAAGAGAGGTCGCTGATCTTGTGATTGTGTGTATTATTCTATTCGTCGGGTTTTTTTGCCTCTTACTGTTTTAACATCTTACTGCTGTTGAAATCAATTTTATATAGCCTATCTATTTAGTTTTTACAAACTATAACGATGAAAGCTGAAGTTGTAAAAGGAATCGTAATAGTTGGGTTATGTATTCTGACATTGTTTTGTGGTCTTCTACCCGTCAAATTAGCCAATTCTCTAAAACGTAGAAACAACAGTTTATCCCAATCGACAGCCAAAAAACGCAGGTAAGTTCCCATTTATTTCTTTTCATGAGCTTCATTGAAATGAAACTGTTTTCTTTTTTTTTTCAATTGAACAAAAACTTCCTTCATCCAAAGCAAAACTAAATAAGAATATTATTATTATTATAAGTTCAAATAACTTTTTTGTGTAAGGAGAGGAAATAAAACTAGTTTAAAAAATCGAATATTGAACAACTCCAACATATTTTTTTACCTTTATTGTCGAACGATGGACACATTGGCAGAATGTTGCTTTTTACACACTTTACTTTTTTTTAATTTTAAGTTTTTAACAATTGAAAGAATATTGGAAATTTTTAAAATAATAGATGACTCAAAAATGGTTAAAACAATTTTTCATAACGGTAACAGAACTTAATTTTTAGATTTACAATCTTCGTATGTTCAAATAAATGTTACAATTTAAAAATGAAACCTAAATTTGTTTTAAGAGAAATAAAAACTAACTAAAAATAATGTTTTTGATTATTATTTGATAATTTTTTAATAATTTTTTTATTGTTCCTCAATCAAAATATCAACATGAGAGGAAACTACAATTCTTTAAGTCTTTTAAGTTCTTATTTGATTGCTTTTTACTTTTTTACAAGGCTTCAATACAGTTTTTTTTACTTAAACTAAACAACAGTTAAAAATTTTAACTGTTTAAGTAAATAAATAACTGATTTTTAAGAAGAATTAATTTTGGATAATGTGAGTAAAAGGAGACCAATTGCAAAAAAAAAAAAATGATTCTAAACTAAAGAATTTTTTTGTGAGAAAGAATCAAGTTTTGTTGAACTATCAGTGCAAAAAAATGAAAGCACAAAAACTTTTTAAAAAAAGGAATAAAAATTGCATCTCGTTTAATGTTGCTTAGTAAACTTTATAATCAAATATCGGCTTTTTTTCTTTTTTTATCGCTAAAAAAAGCACCCTAACAAAAAGATTAAACTTTAAAAATCACCTACTAAATTGATACAAAAATAATTAAAGAATATTAATTTAATTATCTTTTTGAAATATAAGAAATGGTTTGTTTTGTATTCTTTAATAAATATGCAAAAGTAAAAGTAAAACAGACCATTTCTTAATAAGGCTCATTAAATCCAAATTCGCGAGAAATTGAATTAAAAATAGAAAAATATGCAAGAACTGAAGAGATTTTTTAGATTTTTAAAATATGCATAGCATACTCATGAACGTTGCATACGGTATGTGTCGAGTCCCTTCAGGACGTTGGCGATCATGACTGATCAATTTCCTGTTCTTTGTAGCTCTTATAAATTTTGTCTTTTTGTTATCTCGCCTAAACCTTGCTCTACCAAGCTCTCTATTTACTCAAGCTCGCTAGGTAAGATATGTGTTGTTTTCTTCTGTTCTTTTTTGCCTTCAATCTGTCCTGTGAGTATAAAATTTTCCAAGCCCTCTTTCCTCATTATGTGCCCTAGAAATTTCAACTGCCTCTTCTTGATAAGTGTCCTTTTTGTTTCTATTTTCTCTAAAACTTCATTGCTCACATGTTCGATACATGGTATTTTCAGCATCCTTCTGTAGAGCCACATCTCTGTTGCTTCGAGTCTCTTCTACATCTGAGGAGATTGTCCAGTATTCACTGTCATATAGGACAAGTGATATTACGTAATAGTTCAGATTTAAATGTCACACTTTCCATTCTCTGTTAAAACACTTCCCAAATTGTTGTATTTGTTTGAGTTAGGTATCTCCAATTTGTAATTTTCTTGTTGGGCTGTTTCTTTTTTGCTAACAACCATGCATTCTGTCTTCTTACAATTGATGTTTAGCCTTTTCTTCTTACTTAACTAGCTTCTGTAGGAGTTCTTGTAGTTCCCTTTCTATGTTTGCTATCAACACTGTTTCATCTGCATTTCTTACGTTGTTAAGATTGCAGCCACCAATAAGGAATCTTGGTAGAACTTCTATTTCTGAATCACCTCACTTGGCGAGAAGACACATCCTTGTCTTACACCCCTTTCTGATTTTGTATATTTACTGATTTTCATTTTCTATCGATATGCAGATAGTTTGTTGCCAATATAAGCTCTGGATAATTTTAATATATTTCCCAAATTTGTCAGAGTTCCCTAGTAGTTTCGACAGTTCTTTGTGACATCAGACACTGTTGCATAATCTATAAAACACATCTTTCTACATTTGTATTGCTCTTTCTGAGCATAAATATTACATTCCTTGTTCCAGTGTCTTTAACAAACCCACACTGTTCTTGTCCTATTTCCAGTCAGATTTTGCTGGACTCTCTATTCATCAGAATTTGGATGATAAGTTTTGTTATATGGCTAATTAGGCTGATGGAATTCTTATTCATTAACCCTCTGGCTTCTTAGACAATGCTATGAAAATAGATGTACTTAGGTCTTCCAGTATATCACCACTATTGTACATTTCATCTACTGTGTCTGTAATCTTGCCAATAATAGTCATAACAAAATGCATACATGCACACAAGTGTGCAAGTGTGTTGTAAAGTGAAAGCAATTTATACTTAATAATATAGTCTGAACTTTGAGCAACTTTTTAAAATGACACATAAATTTTTATATTTTGTAATCACTAATTTGAAAATCTTCAGGCCAAATTTTTTTTCAATGAATTTCTCAAGATTTCAAACAATGTATAATTTGATGAAATAAAAATAAATTTAAAGTATATAGATCAAAGCATATTTGAAAGTGGAGGTGCTGCATTTTGTTAGATTTATGCACATATTTATACAGTATGTGTTTTCTGTAAAGACATTTATACTTTCAGAAATTTATATAGTAGTTCTCATTTTATTTTAGGTCAAAGTATATTCAGATTCCATTAGTCTTTTTACAATGCAGAATCATTGTAAAGAAGGATCTAATTGTTTAACATTAAAATGTGTCCACTTAGCAGTTTTGCAAATGGAAAGTTTTTCAATTTCTTACAATACATTGAATTTTCTTACTTGAGCAAGGAGACTTACTTGATAAACAAAAAATACATCTTACTTATTATAAAATGCAGATTGTGTGTGTCTGTTCGTTTATATATGGGATCGTATTTCCTACATTTTTCAACCGATTACAACAAAACTGCACAGGACTACATGAAATTACCCGGCGGTGGTTCTGACAGTGCCAAAAATTGGAAAAACACAATTGTTTTTGCACGAAATCAATTTGAAAGCACGGTTAAGGGTATCGCACCTGGCCGAAAGTTACTGCTGGCTACTCAAACATCCGAATGCTGTTAACTTCTGGTGACTCAGCATTTTTTTTTTTCAGAGAACGATACACAAAAAGTAAAACAAATGAAACACAAACATACATAAGTCCTCCTAACTAAAAATAATAACCGCAAACTACTTTAAATACACATGGTGTCTAAATGAAACCCATGTGTACAGTCAAAGTGCGGAAGTTAATTTTTAGTCATCAACCAAAAGATATTGCCAACTGGCTACGATGCTACCACAGCCAACATAAATACAGCTGATTTCTTGGCTCCGGGGTAGAACGACGTGCTCCCCCTTTCACCTTTACCTGTCCGACCCTCATGGAAAATAAACCTCCACATCTCAAGTGTTAATAAAAGCAAAGCATGTCAGATTTATAAAGATTTCCTATTTGTCCCTTATCCTATCATTCTCTTGCATTCCTATCTATATTTAATCTTAATTCATATATATATATATATATATATATATATATATATATTATAAATTAATTGATTTAAAATATGTTTTTTTTTCGCTACACAGTTCCAATATGGAGAAAATAAAAATATCTATAAGAACACCGGATTTTATATCTTACTGTTCTTTCTTTTTATTTATATACATATATATATATATATATTTATATACATATATATATATAAACAGATGCAAACTATGCCTGGAAGAAAAAATTAAAATAATTAAGTACAAAAATACAAGCCAATTATTGAACCAGAGAAATAAAATTATACTTAAATGTCATCCTAAAAATAAGTTTATATACTCTTAAAAATAGACATTTATTGTGCATCAAACACTGAAAAACATATATTAGGTTTGTAACTATGTAAGTTTATATATATGTATGTGTGTATCTATCTATTACTTTTAAATGATGATGATGATGTTTAAACGAATAACAACATAGATTGCATTTCTGTGATTTTTATTACTGTTTACGCAGTTAAAGTTTTATCCATAAAATTTTCCCATACCTTCCCTTACTGCAATATTCTCAAAAAAATCTAAATCTGTAATGTAATTGGTACTGAATTAGCTTCTTGACTTCAGCAGCTTTCTCACAGACGTGATGTGGCTTCCCTCTGTCTTTTCTACAAATATTTTCATAGCTACTGCACTGATGAGTATTTTTTCCCTGGTGCCCTGACTACATGAATTTAAGTGTACTACTAGATTGGCATCTAGGTCCCAACTTTTTACTGTTGAAATAGTTAAATGTAACTGCCCTTCTAACAGTTTCTTTCCTCGCACTTCTCCATATTGGAACTCCATTCCTCTCACTTGCTTCCCTGATAACTACAATCATCAAAAACCTAAATGCAACATCAGTCACCATGTTTTGTTGCATTGATACCTGTTCTTTTTTCCTTTCTTCAATCCCCCCTACACCCACTCTTTTCTCTCATTTTCACTCTCCATAATCCCCTGTGTGATAATGGCACTTCTGACTTGCTTGGGGTGAAATGCTTAAACAAAAAAAAAAAAACCAAAACATTGAATATAAAATAATTAGGGTACTGACAAACGCATCTAATAAAATAATTAGGGTACTGAAAATAGCATCTACCACAATCAAATGTAAAGCTAAAATAATAAAAATGTGCTCAATACAATAAATATATATATATATATATATATATATATATATATATATATATATATATATATAAGGCAGGATATGTGTGTGTAACAAATGCATGGCCTCAATTTTCGATGGATTTGCACCAAAATTTACATGCACATGCTCCAAGTTAGCGGG